AAAAAAAATTAAGGAGTGTTATGACCATGGATCTAGAAATGATGTTAGAAGAGCTATTTCAAAGTTTTTTCTATACAATCATATCCCTGCAAATGCAGCAACCTCTCCATATTATAAAATCATGATAGATGAAATTGCGAAAGCAAGAAAAGGTGTACGGGGGCTTACACCTTATGAAATTATGGGGAGGTTCTTAGATGAGGAAGTTGAAGAGTTGAAAAGACATTTCAAAAAAGCTAAATTATATAGGCTCACTATTATATGTGATGGTTGGACAAGACTAACTAGATTGTCGATCATCAATTTTATGGTGTATTGTAATGGGCAAACAATGTTTCATAAATCTATTAATGCATCTAGTGATCGACATAATGCATGGTATTTGTTTAGTTTGATGAATGCAGTGGTTGATGAAGTTGGTGCAGAAAATGTTGTACAAGTTGTGACTGATAATGGAAGTGCTTATAAAGCAGCTGGCAGAATGTTAAAACGAAAAAGAAAGCACTTGTATTGGACACCGTATCCAGCTCATTGCCTTGATTTAATGTTAGAAGACATTGCTAAACTTTCTATGGTGTCCAGAGTGATTGAAAGGGGAAAAACAATTACCAATTTCATTTATAATTACTCAATTGTTCTCAACTTGATGAGGAGCTTCACAAATAATAGAGAGTTAATACGTCTAGGGCCAACTCGCTTTGCTACTCATTATATTGCTCTTAAAAGTTTAAATTCTCAAAATACAGCATTGAGACGTATGATTGACGCAGATGAATGGAAATCACTACCACAAGCAAGAACAAAAAGGGGAGAAGAAGTTAAGAAAATTATCAATGACAACAACTTTTGGAAATTAGTTCAACAATATGCTTTGATGACTGAGCCCCTTGTAAAAATGCTTCGAATTGTTGATGGTGAAAAAAGAACAACAATGGGAATTATATATGAGGCAATGCATAGAGTGAAGAAGATGATTGAAGATAAATTTCCAAATTCAAATAAACATATTCTGTACATTATAAACAAGAGATGGAATGCACAGCTCGTTCAGCATTTGCATAAAGCAGGTATTTTTTACTCTATTTAATTATATCATTAATTTCTAATATTTTATATTTTATGCTAAATGTTAAATGAGTTTTTAAGATGTCAATTAACAATATTTTTTTTTCTTAAATTTCAGCATATTATTTAAATCCAGTTTTTCAATATGATCATGATCTTATTGTGAATGAAGATTTATTGTCATCTTTGAAAAAAAGTCATTACAAGGCTAGAGCTAGATGAAACCAGAGCTGCCATTGCCTTACAAGAGGTAAAGTGTAATTGTGTAAGTTGATATATTATATAATAAAAATATTTTGATAATATGATACTAATATTTGTTTTTCATTTTAGGAAAAAATATTATGTGAAGCATTAAGTGGCTTTGCAAATCCTATGGCCGTTAAAACAAGAACAAGCATTTGTGATCTTTTTTTGACCTTTTTGTTTGAAATGCTTAGATGGTTTTGCTGGATTTTTGTTTAAGCTAATTGATGATGCATAATCCGGCCGATCTTAGCTGTCAACGATCTTGCCTCTGAACTGAGTGGCAGGGACCTGAAACGGAAGGAGAAGAGAAGCTCCGGGGAGAACCTGGCGTAAGGGCTCCGAAGCTCAAGTTAGAGTCTTT